TGAATCCAGCCTGCAGAGCCCCATCATCTGGTTCCCTGTTTTTGCCTGTGGGTCTCAGAGTTGAACCATAGGCAGTATGCAGGGCCCGCCAGATGGCCCTACATGCTGCACACAACACCAGCTCCAACCACTCCAGGCCCATGTGGCACACAGCACCTGTTCCAGCACATCAGCTCCATGCTGGATCCAATGGTGCATCCCAGAATGGATGTTGCATGTAGAATGGCCTTGGAGCAGTGGAGCAACTGCCATGTGCAGTGAAACCCTGGAGCCGCCAGAATAGGATAATGCCACATTCAGTGTCTGCTCTGGGTGCTTCAGGACACGTGCTGGATCTGGCATGCAGTGTTGGTCTTCAGGTCCAATCCAGCCCAGGGACCAGCTCTACATCACTCATCCAGCCAACAGGGCTGGATGGCATCCCTACTATAGACCCAGTCCCACGCTGCCCAGCCTTGCCCTGTGAACTGGGATTGGGCTCCGTGCTTCCCTGCTTGCTGGATCTCATGTGTAGGGCCATGGCCTGTGGGGATCCCTAGGGATCCAGGGGGAAGCCTCAGGGGCTGGATGACACAGTGCTGTAAGCTAGAGCTGGCCTACAGGCTAGGGGTTGAGCATCTTGCCATATAATATTTAAAACATTTTCTTTATTATAGAAGTCTGAAATACATTGTGGAAAAGAGATCTCTCAGTGTGCATCTTTTTATTAGAGAACAAGTATTATTCCATTATGTAATAATATTATTCCAAATGCTATTAGCAAATCAGCAGAAAGTCTTCTCCCAATATCAAATGAATGTTTGGGATTGACAAACAATCAGAATCAGGTCCTCAGTATGCAACTACAGTATTATTGTCTCTGAAAATACTTAACTGTGTTACCTATTAAAAAAATCAAATTAGAAATTATTATGCAATTTGAGAAACTGGATGCAATTTTAATTGCTCATGTTATTTATTTTTATATAACTTCTGCATTTTGTTCTGGGCTTCCCTGTGATCTGTCATGTGTTGCTATGTATACTCGTTCATTTGCTGAGTGTACTCTGTTTCTGACAGCTTCAGTTTAACTACTTGTCTTTCTTCCTTCCCAAATGAGGGTTTGTTTGTGTTTCTTTGACAGCACTTGCAAGCAGAGACAGCAGACTGCTTCTTTTTGCATCAGCAGCTTTCTGATAGGATACCCATCAGCAGGTGATGGGTATTCTTTTCCTATGAGCCCTGTGTGTGTGGTGGTGCTACTCCTGTATGAGGCAGTAATTATTTAATTCATTGATTTCACCTCATGCTCACAAAGCCCACCTGTTGTCTCACTATCCTCCCATCCATTTACACAATGAAAAAAGGACTGTAAAGCAGTGGTTGTCTCCATTGCTGAAAAAAATAATCCTATTTCAATTATTCTGTTACAGTCACCCATTATTTCCACAGCTGCAGGCTGAGAGCTGTGCAAGTGGATCTAGGACCATAACAGGTGACTGCTCATAAACTGCAATTTCTATGGGGAACTAACTTGCAAAAAAAGGAAAGACATTTCATGAAGTTTAAGTGGAGAAGGTCTGAAGCATAAACTAACAGCTTTAAGGAAAGAAAAGGGAATCATCAGTTTTGCCCATGACAGACAATGGAGCAAAGAATATAATAAGCATATGAGTCAGTGGTGAAAGCTAGACTGCAGTCAGGGTAAAGATAAGGGTCAAGCATCAAAGCATCTAATGAAGAGATTAAATTAGTGGCTAAGATGCAAAATGACTGGTCAAGTTGAAGCTGGACATCGGGAGCAGGGCTTCAAACTGGCTATAAATTTACAGACCATCTGTAAAAAAACAAACAAAAAACCCCCAAAAACAAAAAAACCCCACAAACCAAGCCTAAACATGCCTTTCTATAAAAATGGAGCCATCAGTAAAAATACTAAGAAAACCTGAGCTTGATTGAAGCTCTTTTTGAAATTAGATTGGAGGCAGTCTCCATTTCAAAATGATTTGGTGCTCTGTCTTGGTGTACAGACAGAGCACAGCAGCAGCACTTGGTATCTGGGCAGGACCACAGCACCCTGTGTGGAGCATTCTCTCAGGGCTTTGTAGATCATATGCACTATGGTGTAAGGCAGTGGTATACTCAAGCATTAGGCCCTGCAGACCGGAAGAATGGTGCAGGGCCAGTCCATGGGCCAGATGGAGCCCTGTGCATCAGTAATGAGTTCTAGGGACCAGCACTTCCCATTCCCTAATCTAAGCACTGGCATTAGACCCTGGGAGCCTGCCACCACCTGATCCCATGCCCTCATGCTGCAGTTGGACCCTGGGGGCCTGGCAGTTCCCCCTCCCAGCTCCCAACACTGGGTTTGGGACTTGGGGCTTGGTGCCACCTCTGTCCAACCCTGTGATCTGAGATCAGGTGCCTGATTCAGCACACAGGACATGGGGCTCCCCATTGGTCTAGAAGTTTGGCAGCAGGGGAGCAGTACCACAGTGGGGCTCCCTAACTGCCCAATTTCCAGACCTGTGGGGAACCTCATGGGCCAAATGATATGCCACTGTGGGCCAGATCTGGACTGTGGGCCATGAGTTGAGCACCTCTGGTGTAAAACCATTGCTCAAGTCAAACAGGGTTAGCAACCAAAGAAAATATTTTACTGACAATCTGCAAACTTTTTACAGACAACCAAACCTTTTTACTATGGTTGGTTTTAAGTCTCTTGACCAAGGCCTGGCAGAAGCATATTTCACTAAAAAAAGTTTGATTTTCAGTATCAAGTTTGCAGATTATCATTCAAAAGTTTGGACTGACAAACTGAACAAAGAGCTATACAGGAAAGCCTCACTACTTGTGGGTTTGGCATTCACAGTTTCAAATATTCACAAATGCCAAACCCACATCTTAAATACACTTACAGGCACTCCTCGGGAGCTCTGTGCTTGCCGCCACTGGGCTCCTGCTGCAACTGCCAGGCTCCTACTACTGCCACTGCTGGGCTCCCACTGCTGCCAGTGCAGCCATGCCCTCCCACCCCCTCAGCTGCCAAGGGCACTATGTTCAAGATGTTTATGAATGCAGTGCTGTATTTGTGGATTTTGCCACTTGCAGGGATCTCAAGAACGTATCCCCCATGAACGGTAAAGGTCACCTGTAGTGTCATTGAGACAGAGTAGCTGGACAGGACCAAAGCAGCAGCTAGAAAAGGCTGTGGTAGGAACCAGGAAGGATACAGGAACTAGGGAACCAGGTTGAAGCAGAATGCAGGAGAGAGGCAAAGAGATAAAACCTGAAGGCAGACAAATACTGCTTGCAGATAACTGTAGGCTTGTGAAGCACTGAACAATGAACATTCCTCTCTTGGCTCTAGCAATCCATCAGGTTGGGAGGTGGAACTGGTTGCCCTGGCTATATCTCAGACTAGCTCCAGCTGTGGCCAGTGGCCAGCCTACTTACACACAGGCACTATGATAATAATAGTGCTATGAAAATTTAACTAGATTTTATATCACATTTGTTTGTTGGTGCGCGTCAAACTCATAGAATCTGTAAAGCATTTCTAATGTGGCCTAGCTCTGGTATCATTTAGGAGCTACATTTAATATGTTTTCTACATAGTGTAAGGCATAATGTGTCTTGACCTCTTGTACACCTGCAGCCTCTGCTTGTAAGTGGAAAAGTACCAGAGGGAGAGTACCATGTGAGAAAGGGAGTGCCATGTGCAGGAGGGGGTTGTTGTAACTAGTGTCATGTGGAAAAAGGATATAAAACATTTTCTTGAGGGGGTTGTTTTGTTGTTGTTGTATGGGGTTGTTGAATAGGTGTATGAGAGAATAAAGGTTTTGCCTGGACGTGGGGTGGGTGTGTGTGTCCTGGGTTAACTGAAAAGAGTATTGAAGAGAGAGTGATTGAGTGCAAGGGTGAACATGTATGAAAACTAGAGAAATATGTCAAGATAGTCAGGAGCATGAGAAGACTGAGACAGAGTAAGGGCAAGAGTGACCTGAACAACTCTGTCGCCACCTCTACTTCCTGATGCCACAGGAAGCACCATTCCTCATCTTGTACCAGATTAGCCTGGCTGTGACTTGGCCTTTGGAATTGACCCGATGTTCTGGCAGGAAACTGCTGGAGCTAGATCCCAAAATCACCCCATTTCCCTCTGGTTGTATCGGCCTGCTGTTCCTGTGGTAATTGTCACCCGTATTCCCCTTGTTGTCCCATGTGTGTCTTGTTAGCATAGTTCAAATAGTAGTGTTGTGTATAATAAGTCATAGTATTCAGTATAGAAACTTAGTTAACACAAGTTCCATGATTAATATTAGATTTTCTGGTCTGTACATTCCAATAAACTGTTTTAATTCGTTTTATTTTACATTGTATCTGTGGAAGTTATTCAGTTAATTAGCTCTGGTATCCACGCAGAGTGGCTACAATGTCCAGATGATAGATGCTGGAGGCTCTAGTCAGGTTTATTAGTATATGTTCACTCTTACTGGCTAGAAAGGCAAATTTCCCGCCTCACAACCCTCTGTTGATTTCTAGTCCAACAATAGCTCTAAGAAGGAACACTAGAAAGACTTATGGACCCCTTCTACTGTGTTAACTGTAACCTAGTCAATAAATCAATAGTACTAGATTTGCTGTTCACTAGAATAGTTTCCCTGTATTTCCATACCTGAATTATTTCATGATGACAGGTTATTGGTCTAGTGGCTCAAAACCCAACCTGAGGAGCCAGTGGACATCTGCTCATATACTCCATATCCTTTGACCCCAGAGTGAGAGACCCTATTTGGATCACTGAAGCACAAAATCTTTCCCAGTGCCACCAGCAAAGAGTTGAAATTATAGATTGAAAATTCCCATGTATTGTTTCAGAAATTTCCTAAATGCCTTTTATAAGGCAGAAAGTTTTTGTTTGGTTGGTTTTTTTGTGGGGGGGAGGTTGGTCATACCCTACCATTTCTTCAACAATATGAAGGTGATTCAGCAATAGTACAAGATAAACCAATTCTTACCTGCTGCACAATGGTTGTTAATTCCAGGCACAGTTGAACAATGTTGTTTTTTAGCAATGAGTATTCTGTTACACTGACAAATGGAGACCTGCCAAAGATAGACAACAGCTTTATAGGAAACAGTATCAATCTGCCACAAAGTTGTTCCAGTTCCTAATACATGTAATTTAAAAATACACTGGTAAAATACACAGAATATCCTGGTTACAACTTCAAGGATGGTTATCCTCACTGATTTTGGAAATTTTAGAACAGACACAAAAATATGGATGACTTACATCACATCAAAGAAGAGTGTAATGGTCAAAAGGATAATGATCTTCCACTCACATAGCACCTGAAAATTTATGATTTGTTCTTTCTACCATCCCTCCACCCTTTTTAAGAGTTTCTTCTGAAATAAATTGTATGCATAAATGTGCTCATTAAAAGCTCTGGGTACTATATGATAAAACATATAATAACATCAGTGAAACTGTTGTAGTGTTTACTTGGATAATTACAATTTGAAATATGTGTCAATGTGTTACTTTGTACTGAATTTATTTTTAGGGAGTATTTGGTGGGGTGTATTTATATTAAGATTAAGTTTAATGTCAAATACAAAAGGATGAATCTATTTTGATGCACAGCTATTCTGAAAATCTAGCCCTAATTGTGCAAACTGAATGATGGAAAATTTAGCCTTGAGCTCTTTTAGCCCTAGTGAATGATTTTCAGAAAAGATAAACACCCCAACTGCCACAGACTTGAGCTGGATTGAATACTCAACAACTCTGAAAATTTAGTCCAAAAGAAATATTAAGAACAATTTTTGGACTTCTGGTCATATCTACATTTTCATGATGCTTGGGCATTCACTTCCATCTGGAATCTCAGAATTCAAACAGGCTAATTGCTTGCCATATGTGAACCAGTAATTTTTAAAAATATAAATTTATGTTTTTTCTAATTAATGGAAAACTCATATACTGGCTAGTGAGCCAATAGGTTAACACATGCAATGTTTCTCCAGAAAGAGAAACACAAAATATAAAGATACCCCACTGTCATCATGAAAGATGTAGCAATAAAAATGCATCTTTTTCCCAACTGTACTATAGTTCTACTCTGTGTGGAAAATTTGGCCCTTTGATTTAGTGTCTGTGAGAACATGTAGTACTGATTAACTCAAAACAGTTAGGGCCAAAGCCTATTTAACTTCTGTGTGCCTAACTAGCATTTATATCATTGTGTAACTGCAGTTTTTGGCACTTATGCACAGTTTGGATTCTATTTCCACCTGCAACAGAACAGGATAATCCAAGGACATGTATACCTTCTTGAAGTAAAACAGAGAAGGAAGCCCAGTATCCAGGTCACTTCCTCATAGGCATTTGTGTGGAATGGAATTACCTGGGCGCGCACACAATGCAGGGTGAATCCCAAATCTTTAGTTGCCAAAAATACAAGTAAAAGTGTTTGATTCTGGAGGAAGAAGAAGGTGGGCCTTCCACTTTAAGGCTCAATAACTTAAAAGGTACTTGTCAAGAGAATGGAAGACCTGGATTAAGGTCTCCTATGCCCCGAGGGGTTTTGAACCAGTGCCTCCCACTTCCCAGCATGAACTAGGCATTGTCCAGAGAGCTTTCTACCCCTTCTCTTGATGCCAAGGCCTTTGTACTTTGTTCAGAATATGCATTGGATAAAACAGACAAACAAACATCACTACCATAGTTTCTGCCCCACCAGGAGCAGGGACTGAAGTTAAAGCCCAGGGGCTTCTCTCTTCTAAGGCAGAAACTATAGTACTGACTCTCACATACTCTCTCTGTTGGGTTCTCTTCCTGTCTTTATGTCTTCCCTGGCTGGCTAGTGGGCCAGTTTAAAAAAAAAATGCTGGGTAGTGTTTTGAGTAATGTCAAGCTAATGGTCTAATGATTAGAACACTTTGGGGAAGCAAAGTGCAAAACCCCTCTGGGTGAGGGGGGCCAGATCTCTCACTCCTTTGACAAGGGCCCTTTAGTCTCTAAGCTCGTGGTGACCTTTTGGCCTCCCCAGCCAGATGAATTGCAAGGAGCCTGTTTGTGGGCTGGATAGGGCCATCTGTGGCCCAGATCAGGCCCTAGGGCACAGCACTGCCCCCACTTACCCCTCTGCATGTCAGGATTGGGTCCCAGAGGTCCAGAACCACCTCTTCCCATCCCCCTCATGCCAGAATTTGGTTCTGGGGGAGGCAGGACTCCCTCCAGCCCCCTACATAAGATGGGGCCCTAGGGCCTGGTAATACCCCCAACCCAGCCCTGCATGCTCGGATCAGGCACCAGCTCCAGCGTACAGGGCCTAGGGCTCCCCATGCATCCAGAGATTTGGCAGCAGGGGAATGATGTCATTGCTCTCCCACCACCAAATTTCCAAACCCACGGGAAGCCCCAAAGGCCAGGTACCATGGCACTGTGGGCTGGATCTGGCCCACAGGCCAGAGGTTGAGCACCCCTGCTGTAGGCTTTCAAGTTATAAAGAGGGATGGCTGCCATCTCCAGTGTCAAACACCCTCTATTTATGCTTTTTTATGGGACTAAAGATTCAGGAACTACCCAGGATTATATGCACACCCAGCAAATTCTTTTCTACCTGGACATCTGTGTAGTCAGAAGGCAGCTTCCTGAACATGTTTAGTGAGCTCATAGCAAGCATAGCTACATGGGGTTCAAACTGTGCACCAAAACCCAAGTCTACAGTTTTACTTGAATAAGTAAGTACCATTTAAGAGCACAAAGGGGAAAAAAACCTCCTTCGTGTTTCAAAATTCTATCATAGAAATGAGGAGGAAAAGCAAAAATAAGAGGAGAGTATGGAGCCTTGTTATGTAATATTCTCTCTCCTATGTTATCAAGAAGATGATTTTAAACTATTCAATTACCACCATTTCTCCAAAATGAAATAGCAGTATACTCAAGATGGGTCTCAGAAGATTTACACAGGTCTTTCTATAATATAAACAGCTTTTAAAATAGGAAGTTTGGACTGGTATTGTAACTTTGATTAAACTAGACTTAACCAGATCAATTATAATCCCTTTCTATTTTGATAGAAAATCTAAAATAAAACCTGCTTTTTAATAACATTCTTTTGTCCTTCTTTTGAAGAGTTCAAGAGCTCTTTTGAGGATGTGTATTGTATGCTGAGGGCAGACCATTCATTTACTACAGAAATGCAAATCACATAACAGAAGTCAAGACGTTCTTTCCCAGAAAGAACATCAAGCTTTTGGAATGTGAAGTGAATAACAAATTACTTAAACAAGTATATTGAAGTGGGAAGTTAGTTGGATTTTAGTTAGGATACCAGAGCTATCTAGGTTTCTTATTCTTGGGGGAAATGGAACAGACACCTTTAAATAACTACAAATAGTTAAATACAATAATGTGTTTGCAAATATCTAGTTGGTCTAATAGAATATATCACCTCTTCCATGAGTTTTGATTCCTTTTATAAATAGTTAAGTCCTCTATTTATGGTACAGTCGGAAGACCACAACCAACAGCACTCTTGAGCAGGGGTTTTCAAACTTTTTTAACAAGTGTACCCCTTCTGTCTCCAAGTTTCAGCTCATGTACCCATTTATATTTTTTTCTTGTTTTAATGGGGTGGAGGAAGGGGTGTGTGGCCCCAGATCTGCACAGCAGGTGGGGTAGGCTGCTGCTGTGGGCTGGGGTGGCACCAAGATCTTCCTGGCAGGGGGCTGGGCTACGCTGGGCTGTGTGGCAATGGTGCTTGGAGGGTGGGTACCGGGGGCTGGGCTGCAGCCACCCCAAAATTCATCATAGCTCCCTCAACCCCCCACTCCCAGCATTGCTGCCATCTGCCCCAAGCGCAGCCCGGCCCAGTCCCCTGCCAGGAAGAACCCAGCACCTTGCTGGCTCCAGCCTGCAGCAGCAGCCTGCCCTTGCCATGTGCGCAGATCTAAGGGCACATGCCCTCCCAGGGGTGTACATAGTGGCAGGAGCCACCCCCTG